GAGGAGGAAATAAGGAGGTTGAGGAAAGAACTTGTTCCCAGAGCTCAGCCCATGCCTTATTTTGACAGGCCATTCATCCCCAAAAGGTAAGCTTATGAAGAACTAGGGTTTAGGGTTTAGAGGCCACATGAAAATTATGCATTTTACACATTGAACCCTAGGGATAATTTAAATAGCTCCATTCCAAAGCTATTACTGCCAGAATCAGATGACAATTATGCATTTTAAACCTCCACTTGCACTAAATATGTTTGTAGCTGGCCCCACTTAGTGGGATAAAGGCTTGTTGTTGTTCTTGTTTTATATGCTACTTTACCGATGCATTGAAAGGTGTATTTCACTTTCTAAATGTTAAAATATTCTTACTTTTGATTTGATATGAGAAAGATTTGGATGATATAAATGTAAAAAGCTATTTTTAGGTGTTATATATATATGTAAATACGAGGAATTTTGTGGTATGTTTTGTAAAATGCCTCTCTTTTTTTTTTTTTTAAAGTTGAACCACTATATAAAGCAATTTTTATTACTCAAGCTAGAAGCTATATATATAGATGAAGCCTGGGTTCATATCTACTCCATCATTGCTCAGAATTCAACTTAATGTATCAAAGAGTGACTTTATCTATATCATAACTCGAATTCAACTCGATGGAGTAGTGACTCTAATATAACTCGTATTCAAATTGAAGTGTTAAGTCGCAGCTCAACCTTGAGCTTATGCTCTATATCTTTTCGAATTTAAGTAGCTCAACTTTATTAAACATGAATGGGGTACGACTTAAATTGATCAATGCATAATTATCTTTGCTAAAAGTAAACTGGGGATTTCATGTTCCTTTTTATTTTTGCCATAATATCCTTTGTAGGTTGGCTCAATGAGTCATCGAGTCAAGTCGTAGCTCGTTAAGCATAACTCATGAGCATTAAACAAGTTGAGCTCGAGCCAGCTCGACGTATTCAATTATGACTCATGAAGTTATGGCTCAAAAGTTTATACCTTGATCTTTTCGATGTAACAATGGGTTCACATTCCAGGTCTGCAAAGCCGAGGACGGTCCCAAAGGAGCCAAAGTTTCATGTCAAACCCGCCGAAGAATCATGGTAAGCATCAAGAATGTTAAATTGGCAATTGCCTTAAATCTTGTCATAGAGGAAAATTTGCATACATAGCACACAATTCTTATATATTTGCATACATAGCACATACATAGCACATATATTTTGTGCTAAAAAGTTTAATTTAATGTCAATATACTATTTTTTTTATTAGTTAGGAAGATTTGCGAGCATTCAATGATCAAAGAAAATGAGGCCATGTGAGCTGCTTTCTATGGAGCTGATCATGCTAATTCTTAAATGTTTCCACCATTTTTTACATAATTGACCTGCATGAAAATAATTTCTTGCATTGTAATTTTTGAATTTAGAATGGTTGGGTGATATGAGAGAATATGTGAGGAGTATTTTGCTATTTTCTTTGTAAATATATTTTTCAGACTGCAAACATAAAAGCCTGATTTTCAGTTTTAGAATTGGGAATTATGTATTTACATATGTGCCATGCAATTTTTATGTATTTACATAACTAAACACTCAAATTGCACAATAATGCTTTTATAGAAAAAAATTAAACTTATATGGATGCATTAAGGGTCTATTTGAGACAGCTGTAGCTTATTGCATAATCTGCTGATAAGCTGATTAAAAATAATCTGTTGATAAGCTAAGTGCGGGTGGCTATTACAAATTTTTTATTTTTTTTGGAAAAGTCAGACCATTGTCAATTAGCTCCCACCGATGTGAAAACTCAATTTTCTGCGTTTTGAAAACGCATAAGCTGTCAAAACATAGTTTACCCAAACAAGTCAGGCGTGTTTTCGAAACGCTACCGCACTAAATAAGTTGCCCCAAACGGGCCCTAAGTTTCAATGTCTTGTAATGAGGGATTTATGTGTTTTATCATTTTTTTAAATGAATTACTAGAGAAAATAAATAAATAATCATAAATATATTATTTTTAAAATTTTGAATATAAAATAATGAATAAAAACTGCATTTACATACATAACATCCAATTTTTATGTATTTGTATCTCTTAACACCTGAATTTTAATTTTTACATTTATGCTATTTAAATATTTCATACGACTTCAAAAATATTACTTAATAATTTACAATTGTATGTAAAATTAAAACTTTGGTGTTAGATATATAGATAAATGGAATTGAGTGGTATGTATGTAAATCTACTTAAAATGTAGTCATAAATAAATATAGATATTGAATTCTTCACATATTTTAAAATCCTGTCTTACATACAAAATGAGAATAATAAAAAAATCACTTTCTTAAATTTGATATTTACATTTACAACACCTTGACATCCTATGCCTGGAGAAATTATTCTGTACGAACACCGCATGCAGTAATGTATGCAGTGTCTAATCTTCACCGTCAATCACCGCAATCAAAATAAAAAATAAAAAAAAGTTTAAAGTGGGGCCCATCGAAATGCATCTTTGCGGTGATCAACGGTTGATATTTACATTTACAACACCTTGGTATCATATACCTGGAGAAATTATTCCATACGAACACCGCATGTAGTAATGGATGCAGTGTCCAATCTTCACAGTCAATCACCGCAATCAAAATTTTTAAAAAAAAAAGTTTAAAGTGGGGCCCATCGAAATACATCTTTGCGGTGATTGACGGTTGATATTTACATTTACAACATCTTGGCATCCTATACCTGGAGAAATTATTCCATACGAACACCGCATGCAGTAATGAATGCAGTGTCCAATCTTCACCGTCAATCAACGCAATCAAAATTTTAAAAAAAAAAAGTTTAAAGTGGAGCCCACCGAAATACATCTTTGCGGTGATCGACGGTTGATATTTACATTTACAACACTTTCGCATCCTATGCCTGGAGAAATTATTCCGTACGAACACTGCATGCAGTAATGAATGCAGTGTCTAATCTTCACCGTTAATTACCGCAATCAAAATTTAAAAAAAATAGTTTAAAGTGGGGCCCACCGAACGGTGGAGATCGGACGCCGCATGCAGAGATGCATGCGGTGTCCGTAAGAAGTAATTTTTCCGCATTAAACTATGTATTTTTTATGGTGATGTTAAAAGCTTTGAGTGGTAT